TGAATAGATTCAAAACTCAACTGTATAATTTTGCCTTGAGCCAACTGTAAATTGTAATTTTAACTGCATAAAATATAAATGCTATCAGATACATGAAAGAAAATAGAACCAGTTGCCTGCAGACAGGCAGACCTTTAGCCATTCTCTGCCACAATGCAGGTATCAGACTTGCAAATTATAATATAAAGCTGAGAAAGAATTAATTAAGGGCTCAGAGGGTTTGTTGGTTTTTTTTTTTTCTCTGTGGTATGTGTTTTAAATGTGTGCAACTCTTGCCCTGATGATTCTGTCCTTTTCTGTAACTGCAAAGGGGTTTCTAAATGGGATAGAGAGCCTATAAAGGTGCTAGCATTACATTTTAGCAGCTGGGTGAACAAAAGTCCTGACAAGAGCAAACAGGGCCTAAAGAAACAGGTCTAAAAAGAAATCAGAACTTTACCAAGCATAAAAAAATATCCAATTCAACTGTGTTCAAAAATATCCAGCTTATTTTTGAACAAATACAGGTATTTTTTGACTCCCTGGTGTATAGTATATACAAAATATTACCAGAGTACTCTGTTGCTATAAAGTGCATATATACTACGTATTTTGAGGGAGAGCTCAAGTAGAAGCATACACAACCAGTCTCTAAAATAGCCACTCATACACCAAATTATGTGAACCAATTGCCTGTATCTCACATTGCACAACACTCTTTCCATCTTTGTCACTTGAATCTAGACTTCTGATAGCTTACCAGAACTATTAATTCTGTCTGCAGCACAAACAGAATAAGTAAAAAGAGGAATGGATGCAATTTTTAAATGAAAACAGATATATAGGAAGGCCTAATTTTTGCTCATTGCCACTGTTGTGAACAGGAGAAAAGCTACAGTAGCTCCAATGTAAAGGAAAATGAGGCCAAAATTATTATGAATTGACTTTGGAAAGCATTCATTTTTCCATCTATCAAATCCAATTCTCTACTGGCACAGGTAGCTGTAGACACAGCAAACAATCCACTCCACTCTGCTGGTTGGGAAAAACTGCTGTTAAAGTAACATTGACACAGACAGGTAAGAAATTTCATCAGGAATGATGTGTCACAAACATGACACTGAGGAAGTCAGCATGGACCAAAACTGCTCCACACAACTAAACTGTCCTGCCATGCACCCTGACAACACACCTGCAGCACCAGGGTGAGGTCAGGTATTAGGCAGATGGATTAAGCTCTCCACAAACCTACACAAGCTATCCATGTCCTAGAAACAGCTGAGAAGTTGGCCTCTCTCCATCTTATCCCATACAAGCCACTTAAAACAGTTCTTTCTTTCTTTCTCCCTCTTAATGACATCTAATTACTCTCACAGAGCAGAGCTCCTACCTGCCCAATAGTCCACTGCCTGTGCCAAGACACTGCGTTCACTCAGCCCATTAAAATCCATCTCAGATCACAGAGACAATACAGATTATTGAATTTAAAGATGCTTCCTGTGGGAAGGGATAGTTTGCCAGTAAGGATAAGGGGCTTCTCCCTTTTTGTCCCAACTAGCTGCACACATCAATTATTTCTATCCCAGTACTCTCACAACAGCCCGGGACCATTTGTCTTGTGGTATTGATCCAGTTCACATCAAAATAATAGAAAACCTGAGTTATTGTCTCTTCCTTTTGTTTGTGTAGAAGCAAGCAAATAGAAGTGTAGTGTCAGAAATCAAACACCTGAGTACTCAGGGAAATAAATTCAATATCTTGGATGTAAGCTGCTCTTGATGCCAAAAAAACGGAAGGTAGCAAACTGCAGTGCCAATTTTTAAAAGCATTCAAGTTTAAAGAATTTAAAGGAATATGGACCAGAACCTCAAGCTTATGCTGCAGGAGAACTGCCAGAAGTGAAGGAAAATTTAAGGACACATACATAAACAGAACATACGGAGGAAGAGGCAACACAATGTTTCTAGAAGAAAATCACGACTCATGAGCTGCAAGCATTCTTGGAAAAAGTCACAGGCATATGGACAAGATATATCTGCCTGATATAGCATGCTGGATTTCCATAAGGCTTCCGATCACACGTATCGGTGAAATTTCTCATTAAAGTAATCTGTGAGGGACAGAACTATTCAAGTTAAATTGGTTAAATGCTCACAAATGAATGATACAAAAATAAATCTACCATCTAACACAAAAATAAATTCACCATCCAACCCAGGAAGCCTCCAGTGAGGCTCCACTGCTCAAGCAGCAATGATGTAGAGATCATGCATAGCACAGATTTCTGAGGCTAAACTGTTCAACATATTCATAAATCATCTGCAAAAGAGGCGAATACCAAGATGAGAAATTCTGCTTATGCTGAGAAAGCATCTATAATAATAAAAATATAACTTGTCTGCAGAGACTTGTGGAGGGTTCCGACGGTGCTGAGTGACTGATAGAAGAGCAGATAAAACTACATCTACAAATTCAAAGTAGTGCACACAGAGAAAGATGATCCTTACTTTCTACACAGAGTGATTGACTTGGAAACTATTACCTGGGAATGAGATTTTGAAATCACAATCTGCACTTCTGTAAACACCTCAACTCTGACTTCATTAGCAGTTAAAAAAATCAAATCAAAAACTAGGAATTATTAACAAAGGAATAAGAATGCTCTAAACTAAATATATCAGTACTACATCTGACAAAGAGGCAGATGAGAGTATGATGAAGATTTTTAAGACATCAGAAGATGGGAAAGTTAGATAGGAAAAAAGTGTTCAATAACTCTCATAATACAAGAGTTATAGGATGTCAAATGACATTGCAAGATGTAATTACATTGTAGAACTCATTCCCTGAGGATATAAAAATTTACAAAGGTTCAGAAATAAAGTGGATTACTGGAATAGTGAGGGAAGTGTTATTAGGTGCTTCTCCTGCTCTTAAGCATTTTCCTAGGCACTGCCCAAGCATTCCTACAAACAGGATCCAGGTTTGGAAAAGTGGTTGAATTAGGTTGTACTGGACCAAAACAGCACACTACAGCTCACTTCACAACACGTGGGAATTGCATTCTGCAAGGCACCTAACTCACATGAAGCACTACAGGATACTCTGAGCAGCTTACAAAAAAACTCAGAAAACAAGCCTAGAAGACAATTTGCAACATTCTTCATAACACAATGCTGTTTTCTTCATTTGCACAACAAGAACAGTAAGAAAATTACTCAGCAGACTCTGCCCAGCTCTAAATCACACAGCCACAATCTCCCAGAGAACCAATGTGCACATAGAAGCTATAATGGTTTTCTCTAGTTTTAGGAAAGCAGATTAAGATGTTAACTGTAATGAAAACAGAATAAAGGTAAGAGCAAGAAACTTTATCTCAGTCAAGAAACATTAGAGATCCAAATCCAGGAGAAAATAGCCCATCAACTCCAAGGCTTATGATTTCCCACAACAGATTTTTCCTCCTACTGAGGACTAAGAACATTCCTTATTTTAATTGTATTTATTGCTTTTTTAATATATAGAAAAATGCTGCTGTTGAACTATTAGATGACTACTTTTCCAGGCTTAACATTGAAGCAACAAATATGTTCTGAACCTTGCTTTAGCTCTGGAGACAGAACTAGTACCAGCAGCTTTCACACCACAGGAGTCTATAGGGGATGTTGTTATAAACTCCTAACATCTTGTTTGTGCTATATATGTTTGATTTCCACATATATATATTTCCACATAATATATTTCCACAAAATCAAATCACAAAGTAATAATTTGCCTTCAAAACAAAAATGTACAGAGCCAGGTGGTCCCTACTTGATAGAGAAACTAAGGCAACAAAACAAATATTTGTTTATTGACTCCTAACAAAAGTGGCAGAATAAGTAATATAACTTTATTTCTGTATTTAATAGCAAACAATACTCTGCATACCAGCCAAAAAACTTCCCAACCAAGGGGAAAGGCTCCTTTCTTTTGGATGTGATGCGTTCAGTAGTTCAAGTTGGATGACTTACATTGAAGGCAAGGGCACAGAGCAACAAAACCTGTGATTCAGACAGTCCCCAGGTGGGGCCCAGCTGGGTCAGGGGGCAGCTCTTGGGACACCTGTACCCAAAAGAGCCCCTGCTCTCCAAGGCCTCCAGCCCTGCCCATCAGCCAGCCAGGCTGGCAGGGACAGAGCAGCCCTTGGGGCCGATGCTGCTGCAGCCAAAGAGCCCCGCAGAGGTGCTCATGCCCGCTGCCATTGGCTCTGTGCCCTGCAGTGTGCATGCTGTGTCGCCGTGCAGAGGCTGACCCCTGTGCTTCCCAAAGCCCTGCCAACAGCTCCTGTGCTGCTGCTGATGCGCTGCCCAGGGCACCCACGGGCACTGCTGGAGCCTCACACCCACCACAGCCAGCGGGGGGGTGACAGCTCTGCTGCTATGGGCACGGCTCTGGGCAAAGCACCCGCGTGTCCCTGGGCTGGGGGCAGTGCCCAGGTCGGGCTTGGCAGAGCCCGTCCGCTCCTGGAGGGCCGGGGGCAGTGCCCAGGCCTGGCCTGGCCTGGGTCTGGGGCGCCTTTGCCATTCCTGCTTGCCCTTAGAGCCACCAGGGATGAGCCGCCGCTCAATGGCCCCAGCCTGGCCGGACAGTCAGGACTGGAGCCTTCCCGTGGCTCCCCAGCACCTAAGAGCATCAGCCCCAGCTCGGAAACACTGCCAAACAGGATTTGCCAATTTTTTTTCCTCTTGGGTCTTTGAAAGGATTTTGAAAGTAGCATTGTTTGGCAACTTCTTCAAGGAACAAACGTGGCACGTTTCTATTTAAAACGTAAAGAGTTTATTGGTTTCCTTGCGCTTTCTATTTGGTATCCTTATGCTTCCTTCAGCATTCCAGGAAATAAATCTAAAAACTGAAAATCTAACAAATTCTTCGGAGAAGTTCCTGAATCCACTATTAGGAGAAGTCTCTAATATCACTCTTTCTCTTAAATACATCCTTTACATACAGTTAAGTAGCTGCTCCTGTAACATACAAAGATGTAGTGGTTTACCTGACTGGACACCACAACATGATGTTATACACACTGGTACACTAAAACCCTTTTGTTCCTGGGGAGTTGCAAAGTTACAGGCTCTTCTGGAGGTCCTGAACTAATTTTGCATGCCCATTCATGCCTGCATTTCCCCCCTGTGCTCAGCTTTCACCTACAGTTCCCAGGGAACAGATGTTACATACTCACCTCAAGCAATAATCTACGTCGGTCTTCCCAACCCTCTTTTTCTTCACTAAGATCTGCGGATCTACAAAATAACTTTGGGCCCTCTGCACAGAAAAAAAGAACCAATTAATAGGCTTATACACTTCTGATTGTGCTGCTGCTTCTAACAATCATGGACAACATGGCAATAAAGCCAGGAGTCAATTCTTCACATCCTTCCTGTTCTCTTGCCCCCCACCAGACGTTGTCTCCCAACAGAAATGTTCCCTACTGCAGCCTTGGGTCCTCAGGACAATGAAAGGCAGCAGCAGTTTTCCTCAGCATGCTGCAGTCTAAATTGCAGTGAAATAGCCACTGTTTCATTAGAAGCTCAGCACCAGGATCACACATCTTCCCCCAGAACTGGGGCCTGCTAAGGACTGAGCTCTCCATTTTAACACCCCCTGCAAATCAGACAGGCTGGAAGAGTGCTGGGCACTAACTGTATGAACAGAGCAATACATTTCTGCAGCGTTATCGAGTCAGTCTCGAGAAATACACATCATTTAAGCCTGTCTTGAGACGCTGTTCTACAAAACATATAACAAGGAATTGTTTTGCTGGCCTCCGCAATTTTTGGGGACTGTGTGTTTCCTTTGGTTGTTGTTTTCTTTGTTTCTAAATACAAAATCCCCTGGATTCAGAAGAGAAAACCCCAGACGCATTCGGACAAAGAACCACAGGGACATATGTGGCCGACAAGAACACTCAACATCCCTAATGGTAACACCAGAAAGAGAGGAAAAAGTTAAAGATGGTATAAATACCTGAAAGGATCCAAAATGTCTAGGTAACCTCTCAGCTGGCTAATGTTTTGGTAAGCTCTAAAAGTCCAGATTCCTATTAGGCAATTATCTGAAAGAGAAGAAAGTCAGAAATCTGCTTGGCCTTTATTTTACCAGGACTTTCTCACGGGATTCTACCACAACCCTGACCACAAATAAGGTTGCCAAAATTTGACTAGGAAACATTCATAAGCAGGTAGCATTTTTTCCTCCTCATGGAATTCCAGGAACAGTTTTAAAAAAAATACAAAAGGGGGAGAAGAAATTCTGTCGCACCTCTTAGGAGTACATCATCTTCAAAGAAGAAGACAACTCTAGCACTTTCTGTGCGTGGTAAAGAAACAAACCTAGACAAGTACAAAGGGATTTTAGCATCTGAAATTGTACTATCAAATTCCATGAATGCAAGTTAAAACTGCAGTGCTTCAGAGAAATGGTATACATTGAAAAGCTTTATTCCCTAGTAGCCAAATAGAGCCTTCTATTAAAAAAATAATCCACTTCTTACAAGAAAACTGACTGCGTCTTTGGCTTCTGGCCAAACTCAGTTTGGAGTTGGTCAAACCAAAATGAGCCAGTTAATTTCTTGTGCTCAACGTCTCTCTTTTCATATTCAACTTCACATCACATGGGCTGCTGGGAGTTTTGACTCTGGGCAGCACAAATGGTTTTCCAAGATGACTTTCATTGCTCAGAGGTGTGCAATCTCAGTTTCCCCTTCCCTGAGTGCTGCTATTAATATTCCCGCAGCATCCAACTACTATAGCCAAGTAGACAACAAATAGAAATGGAACTTGCATTTCCTGGTCCTTTTCAGTTTCTCACGTCTCAGGCTCATCATCACTCTCAGAACTGCTGTCTTGGAAATGTGAATCCTCTTGCCATGTGACTTTTACCAGCTTTACTGTCCCAAGTCGGCAAGACTCTGCAATAAGAGCACCAAAAAAGAAACAAATCCACATCCAGATTATTGCTCCACTTATCAGGAAGGATTCCTCCTTTCAAGACAAATACTTACAGTGGAGAAGACAGATGTAGGAAGGACAGAATCTGCTCCTGCCAGATTTTCTGAGCTACATCTCGGCTCCAGGATTTTCCACTTTGTTCTCGGGATCTCTGCTGTATTCTTAAACATTTATCGTTGCATTCAGAAGACACTGAATACCTTCTGAATTCAGCACAATTGTGTGAGTCTTGTTGCTTTGTGTTGTTGCGTTGGTTTTTTTAATATTTTGGATAACTTCACATGGCTTCTTTTCTCTCCTACAGGTCTGTTAGTCAATTTAATGTTGTTTCATCTTCTTTTTATAAGGCTTCATTTATCTAAGGTTAGAACACCACAATGATCATTTGTCATTCAGTTTCCTTTTTCTAAAGGTCCAAGAATAGAATTCAGTAACAAACAGAACATTCACGAATCTTGTGGTCAACTCCAGGATTTTGCTCCTCCCTCTACATTAACACACATTTCCTTTAAAATCTTGCTGGGTTCTATGAAACTTCATATGACTGGTGTGTCACCTTTCTCCCTCTTTGAGAGATTCAGGGCATGACAGCAAGCCTTTTCACCACTCAGCAAAAATCCCAATGCCTTCTCAAAGCATGCCTTTCAGAATTCCTGAGATGCAAGCATGAGTTACCTCTCATTAATCTACCACAGCCTTGGCAAGCAGAAATGAAGATCAAAATGCTTCTGCCTAATTACTGACTTCTGCTGCTGAAAATCCCCTGCATCCTGACCTTCTTTACACCACAGTGCTCTACAGTGCCTGCCAGAAGCTCTTCCTTAGAAATGGCACTGTGAGAAGGGTTCTTCTGTTACCTTCTTTGATGCCCAACTCCTCTGTGTCTCCAAAGAAGGAAAACTTGAAAGCACTCTACTCCTGAGCTGTGCCGTTCTTGGGCAAAGGTCCAAAATGGTCACCTGGGGCAGAGTCCTGTGCATCCTCTTTGTCCCAGGGTATTTCCACAGTCTTTTCTGGTTTGTTCTTTGAAGCTCCAAACAATCAGCAGCAATACAGTAGTCTGATTTCTTCAGATTACTGTATTGCTTACAGTAGTCTGATTTCTTCAGATTACTGTATTGCTTACAGTAGTCTGATTTCTTCAGACACTTGAGGCAGTGTCTCACTCTCTTCTTTCTTCTTCCTTTTGGCTTTACTGAAATGAGATTGTTCAAGGATAGCAAAACAGCGCACGACCTTTCCAAAGACAGCTTCCCTAAGAGCCACCTTACTCTGAACGTCTCCCTAACCGTATCCAAGCCCATTAAGGAGAGGTTCACTTTCAAGAGTGAGCAGTGGGGAAACATAGCTTGGAATCGAAAGGCCGTAACAAGAGTCCTTCTTAATTAGCCTCATCATTAAAGTGACTTTTCACTTAATACATGGTAAGACAGAAATCAAGGGATTTAGCACAAGGCTACTTTCCTGCCAGTAGAAATGTCAAGAGCTAATACAGTTTTCTCACAGACCTACAAATCTCAAGGTCCCTGTACTGACCGTTCTCACCTTCACTTCCGGCAGCGACTGATGGACTAGAAAGAAAAGACGAGGCTACGTGCTGCTGTTGGAGGTCCCAGTTGAGGCCCGACGCCTCTGGCAGGAGCGGTTGCTCCTGCGGGATCTCCCTGATGGTGTCCCCGTGCGCCTGGGCCTCTCAGCACTTGCTGCTCTCCTCCTGCTCCTGTCCTGGCGACTCCTGGACCGGAGAGGTTGATTCGAGGCCTGGCGCTGCAGGCGGGAGCGGCTGCGTCTGGGGGATGTCCCTGATGGAGTCTCCCTTTGCCTGGGCCTCTCAGTCCTTGGTCTTGCCCTGCTGCTCCTGTCACGGCGACTCCTGGACCGGACAGGTGGACTTAGGGCCCGACGTTGCTGGCGGGAGCGGCTGCGTCTGGGGGATGCCTGTGAAGGTGTCTCCCTTCGCCTGGGCCTCTCCGTCCATGGTCTTGTCCTGCTGCTCCTGTCACGGTGACTGCTTGACTGGACAGATGGACTCTGGGCCTGACCTATCTGGCGGGAGCGGCTGCGTCTGGGGGATACTTGTGATGGTGTCTGCCTTTGCCTGGGCCTCCCAGTCCTTGGTCTTGCCCTGCTGCTCCTGTCCTGGTTACTCCTGAACCGGAGAGGTTGATTCGAGGCCTGGCGCTGCAGGCGGGAGCGGCTGCGTCTGGGGGATGTCCCTGATGGAGTCTCCCTTTGCCTGGGCCTCTCAGTCCTTGTTGCTGTCCTGTGGCTTCTGTCACGGCGACTCCTGGACCGGACAGGTGGACTCTGGGCCCGACCTTGATGGCGGGAGCGGCTGCGTCTGGGGGATGCCTGTGGAGGTGTCTCCCTTCGCCTGGGCCTCTCAGTCCTTGGTCTTGTCCTGCTGCGCCTGTCACAGCGACTCCTCGATCGGACTGGTCCATTGGAGGCCCGACCTTCATGGCGGGAGCGGGTGTGCCTGCAGCCGGGCCCAGCATGTCTGGAATGGCCCCTGTCCTCAGGCTCAGGGGTGCTGCTGTACAATGACCTTGGTGTGCTGGGGCTGCTGGTGTCCAGCGAGGGAGATGGCAGAGACTGCTGCCGTGCTGTGCTGCTGGTCTCTGCAGATGAAGCCTGGGGACCCAGCCCCGATGGCACCGGGCCACAGGAGCTGGGGCTGATGGCCTCAGATTCTGCGGAGCCGTGAGCAGGCTCCAGTCCTGACTGACTGGCCGGCCGGGGGCCACTGAGCTCTGGCTCATCCCTGGAGGCTGTAAGGACAAGCAGGAATGTCAAAAACCACCCAGGCCCAAGGCAAGCCTGGCCAGAGCAGAGCCCCAGCCCTTCAGGAGCAGACGCACTCTGCCAGGCCCAGCCTGGGCACTGCCCCCAGCCCAGGGACACCGGCTGCTTTGCCTCATACCCGTTTCAACACCAGCACAGCTGTCACACTCCCAGCTCTGTACGCTGTTTCTCAGGCCAGAGCAGCGCCTGTGGGTGCCCTCAGCAGCACAGGAGGAGCACAGGAGCAGTTCCCAGGGCCTGGGGAAGCAAATGGCTTTATGACACTGAGGACAAAGTGATTGTCCGGCCAAGCTCTTCTAGTTCTTTCCTCTTTGAGCCCTTGAAGTGACACGGGTACCCTGCAGAGCCTCAGCTGCAGCTCCCCAACTTACCCCTCTTCCTCTGCCTCCTCCCTGCCTCCCGGGTAAAGGCAATCCCTGGCATTGCACCTGCTGTGCCTCTCTCCTAGATCTGCGAAGGCATCGTCGTCCTCCCATGTTGGCTCTCTGATGGAGAACGGAAAAGCTGATGAGTTTCTGCTGCCCTTCCCTCACGGAGGTACAGGTTCTCCCTGCTCTTCCTCCCGTACTTTTCCAAGGCGTGCGTGAAGCTGAAGCCCAGACTCACGGGACAGGGCAGGGCCAGGACTGCTGGGGCAGGGCCAGGACTGCTGGGGCAGGGCCTGGCACAGCACAGACCTTGCACCTCCTGTCTTGTGAGGCAGGCAGAAGGACACCAACCTGAAGGGGATTCGGATCCCCAGTATGAACATTTCGAGAAGGAATGCCTCCTCGACTCTGCAATGGGGGCACCGGAAATGTAAAAGACCCTCACGCATGGCTTGTCCCTGCAGGGCCAACAGAAGCAGGGTGAGCAAGGCCCTGGTGATGCTGAGCACCTGCTGTGCCCTGGGGCTGAGGGGAGGGCTCCTACCTGGATGCAGTCCCTGTGGAACCAGGCCCTTTTGCACACTGGGCACACCAAGGTTCTGAAAGTCTTTCTATCCTCCACAGGCTCCAAGCAGATGAGGCAATTGGTGCCCGGCTCTGGAGTCGCCTCCACGGCCTGCTTTGGACGGTGCATAGGGCAGAAGGACCTGGAGGAAAATGGATGGGCAAAGTGAGAAATGTTGGATCTTCCACCAGGAGTGAGCAGGAGTGGGGAGGAGGTACCTGTAATGTAGAATATACTGTGTGACGCAGCCGCCGTCCTTGGCACAGGGCAGGTGGAACCATCTGGCACAGCCCCTCTTGCAGCACATGATGGTTGCCCCGCTCTGGCCACAGACGCAGCAGCGCTGGAAAGAGCCAAGCAACCCCATCAGCAGCAGCCTCGGGGCCTCCCCAGGCAGCCCCAGAGCTCCGGGCAGGGCGGAGGATGTGGCCACTTGCTGGTTCTCAGCCCACAGAGCCGTCTGGTGTAAGGAGGGGGCCTCCTGCGCCAGAGCCTCTGTGCAGCTGCTGGGAGCCAGACTTTGTCCCACAGCTGGCCAGAAGGGCAGGCCTTTCATTCCAAGCGTCTGGGCTAAGCTCTGGCAAACCTCACCGGGCACAAATCTCCCTGCTTGCATCAGGCTCTCACCTTTTGTGCCGCCCGCCGCACTGCAATTTGGATATCTCGAGGAAGAAATCCCTTGAGTCCAACATGCTTGTCCTCTTGAGCAAAAAGTAGAGTGGCAAAGAACTGCAGCAGAGGGGAGGAGCAGATGAGGAGAGAGAGGCAGGAACTGCCCATTGCAATGGTGGAGGGAGCGCCTGGAGCCACTCACCAGGCAGTACACGTGGGCACAGAGCCCGAGCTTCTCCAGTTTGTCACCGCAGACGTCCGGGTCAGCCTCTGCACGGCGACACAGCATGCACACTGCAGGGCACAGAGCCAATGGCAGCGGGCATGAGCACCTCTGCGGGGCTCTTTGGCTGCAGCAGCATCGGCCCCAAGGGCTGCTCTGTCCCTGCTGGCCTGCCTGGCTGACGGGCAGGGCTGGAGGCCTTGGAGAGCAGGGGACATTGCGGGCACGGGTGTCCCAAGAGCTGCCCCCTGGCCCAGCTGGGCCCCACTTGGGGAGGAAGGAGGCTCCCAGCCGCAGCATGGCTGAGCAGCTCCTGCCTCCCCCTGCCTCTGCTCTGGGCCCCACACAACGCCTGCCACAGGAGCCCCTGGGCCCGGCTGTGGGAGGGCGGCTTTGCCCTCACCTGGCTCCCTGGCACCAGGGCCCTCCTGCCGCCTGTCGCACATGGCAGCCGTCAGCGGTGAGTCCCTGTCCAGAAAAGTCTCCTCCAGGTGCTGTTCCTCTCTCTCTGTGGGAGAAAGAGGAGGGTGGGGAGTTTGCAGCACAGGCCCAGAGCCACGAGGGCACTACTCCCTGCTGAGCCCTGCGTGAGCCCTGCTCCTGTCCGCCTTCTCCTCCCCGTCGTCGCCTCGAGGAACACTGCACTCTACTCGGCTGTTCCTTCTCTGATTCTGGGCAGGGAGAGGCAGGGGAACCTGCAGCACAGGCCCAGAGCCCCGAGCTGTGGGGCTCCTCTGGTCCCTGGGCAGCAGCGTCCCTGCCCTGCCTTCTCCTCCCGTTGTCAGGTCGCACTGACACACGGCCTGAGCCCAGCCTTCCCTTTGGAGGCCTTGGTTGCGCGGGTCACAATGGCCACTCTGACATCAGCATCGTGCAGCCAAAAGTGGGGCAGCCATGGCCTCAGGTTCCTGGCAACCACTTGAGGCAACCCCCTTGGGAACCCAGGTTCTGAGATGGGTGCGAAGGTTGGGTCAGCAGGGAACCCGGGCAGGGACTCCTGCAGCAAGTGCAGGGCCAAATGCCAGGTCCCGAGGCAGCCATCGGGCACTGCTCTGCTGCTGCTCCTGGTGCTGCTCCTGCACGTTGCACACAGACACAGCCACCTGCTCTGTCTCAACCCGGTTCAGCACTGGACAGCAGGACACAGTAAAATGTTCTCTTGGGTACATGATCGAATCATTCAAAGTCCTGCATAAAAGCAACTCACATTCAAAGGAAACACACAGAAAAACCCCAAACCCTGCTACAAACCTGGAATTGACACAAAAAGCAAAAAGTTCCTCTTCAGAAACACAGGCTAACACTTTGGGCCAATGCTTTTTCCTATTAGATCTTCGAAAGGATTTCCAAAGTAACATTGTTTGGCAACTTGTTCAAGGAACAAACAGGAAACACATCTGATGTCTAAGAAAAGATTTATTGGTTTGCTTTCACTTTCTTTTTGGAATCCTTACACTTCACCAGGCAGTCCAGAAAATTGTGAAAATCCAACATAATATTAGGGGAAGGTTCTGAATTCACGGTTTGTCTCAAAGACTCTTTTACATGCATACAAGGAACTGCTCCTGTAACATACAGAGGTGCAGTGGTTTCCCTGAGTGGACATCACAAAATGACGTTATACACGCCTCTATACTAAAGAACTTCTGTTGCCTGGTGATTACAAACCTTCAAACTCTTCAAGAGGCTTTCCTCTGTGCAACTTCACTAGGTCCCTCTCTGCTCAACTCTCAAGCATGCCCAGGTCTCACTGAAGGGCAGCACAGCCGTGTGGTTTATCAGCCCCTGCTCCCGTTTCCGTCCCATCAGCAAACCTGCTGAGGGAGCGCTCCGTCCCTTCTGCCAGGTCACTGGGGAATAGGGCAAACAAGGCTGACCCCAGCACGGCCCCCTGAGCTCACAGCTCTCTGAGTTTGGAGCTCCACTGCCCACTTCTCTACGCCACTGTCCCTGAGCTGCTCCATGACCGTGATATGGGAGGCCAGGACAAAGCCTTGCTGAAGTCCCGGCTGACAACAGCTGTCAGAACTCAAAATGTCCCTCAGACATTTTTAGATGTTCCAAGTCCAAGTCAGAAGCATTTAAGACCCTAGCAGGCAACTAAAAACAGCTGTAATTTTAGATTTAAACCATAGAATAATTTACCAACCTTACAAAAAGAACAAAAAGTTGCAAAAGTTTAAATATTATAGTAAAATTAGTCACAAAGTAAAAAGAAAAATTTTTAAGTGCTATACAAGAAGATTTTAAGTCTTATACAGGGGGGGGTTTAGTTTTATACATAAAAATCAAAAGTTTTAAGATAAAGAGATTTAGGCCTATCCTGTCCTCCCTCTTTCTTCTTCCTTACCTCCATATTCTTAGTAATGTTAACACTCACAAATTAATTTAGGGTAAAAAAGCACCATTTAGTATAAGTAATAAGCATTAAAGAAAAACTATAAACATTTAACACATAATGTACCACATAAAAAATAACACCAACCCTGGGCGGGGGGAGAGAAGAAAAAAACAAAAGTCAAAAAAGATATCAAAGTATGTATGTGCCTTTACCTAAGCTACTAAGCAAACCACAACTACCCAAGAAGACAATCTTTTAAATAACTTACAATAAACTACCTTGAAACCAAACAACAAAAAACTTCTAAACCTTTCTTTAAAAGCACAAATTAAAAGAAAAATTTTTCCACCACACAAAGCCACCCCAACCTAAAATAAGCTCCAAGAAACAGCCACTGCTCTCCCCTCACAAACCCAGCCAGTCAGTGCAGCAGAGGTGGTGTGAGATTGGTCAACCATGGTTTTCTGTCGCTGTAGAGATGGACACAAGACATACACAGACACCTGTGCAGCGACAGCAATGGCTTCTTCTTTATTACAAGTTGTTCTCAAGTTTTTATACCCCTAAGAAAGTGTGATCTTAAGTCATTAGTTACATCAAAAAAGCTCAAGATATTCAATGGACAAAGCAATAGCTTATTGTATTTTATTGGTACAAAGCATTGAATGTCAACAATTCATTGCAAATGTGTTTACCACAAAATATGAAGGCATGCACACTGCTCACTAAGGCAACTACAAGTAACCCGGATGTGTTTATCAGTTTCCATGTTAACAGCCTTGCTTTCTTCCTTGCCATGGATAAACTTGTATTTTATTAATTTCTTCTTCTGCTAACTCAGTTGTTTGCCCTGCAGAACAGCTGTAAGCCCACCCACAGTTTTCCCTTCCTGTTATTCCACAGGCTTAGAGATGACATCCAAGAGGAGCTATTCTGTCACCTTTCTGGGGATGGAGTGAGGCTGATAGGCCTGCAGTTTCCTGGCTCCTTGGTGCCCTTTTGGAAGACTAAGAAGTTAAGTGAGACCACTCCTATTTTGTCTGTACCACCAATACAGCCTCAGATAACTTTTAAATCAAGTCCTTGTGCTCACACAAGCAGACACTGCATGTTCATGGCACAAGACCTGAATGTCTTGATGGGGAAGGGCTTTACAATACTTTACAGAAGACAGCATTTTTCACCTTTGTTTTATTTGTGTGCGAAAATGAAGAGCAATATTCTGTTGAGAGACTGAATTAATATCAAAATCAAGCTAAATCAAGCTTTCAAGTTAAGGAACACCAGGCCAGAACCTCCCTGAACAGGGTCAGTTCTCTCTATACATTCCCAAGCTTTAATAGCCTTCACTTGTACAACTGTAGATTTATTTTCTACAGTGTTCCCTCCTTGTTCTGTAATGGCAAGCACAGGTGCAAACCTGCTGTTCCCCAACATTTGAATGCTCCATTTTGAAATCTTAATTTTTATTAATAAAGTAATAACTACACCTTAACAAGGTAACCAAAAAATACTAGATTGAAATCTATAAAATGCTGCTGACAGATCCCTTTTCTGAGTGTAAGTGCATAAGTATCCTTAAGACTAGCAAGAGCATTCCCCATATCTCTGGTGGGGAAAGACAAGATTGATCTGCGTTGTCAGGCAACCAATTGCAAACTAAATATAACACTTCTAAACACTTGTGTATCTCAAATTCATTAAACACAGAAACTAGATAAAAGGGGTTCTGCAAACTCCCCACACTCTTCTGTCTCCCAGAAAGAGAGAGAGGACCAGCACCTGGAGGAGACTGTGACGTTTCTGGACAGGGACTCACTGCTGACGGCTGCCATGTGTGACAGGCGGCAGGAGGGCCCTGGTGCCAGGGAGCCAGGTGAGGGCAAGGCCACCCTCCCACAGCCGGGCCCAGGGGCTCCTGTGGCAGGCGTTGTGTGAGCCCAGAGCAGAGGCAGGGGGAGGCAGGAGCTGCTCAGCCATGCCGCGGCTGGGAGCCCCAGATTTATTTCTGCTTCCAGCACTGCCCTGCTGCTTTGCCTTCAGCATTCATTTCACCTCACCCAGCTGAACACGGCCCATCCTTTGGCTCTATGTGGTGCCCCTCAGTGGGCTGTAAGCTCTGCTGGCTCCAGGATTGTGATTTCACACTCTGCAGCACTACCAGTGACCACAGCTGTGTCTGTGGGGCTGTCAAAGCCCTTTGGGCCATGCCCAGGACAAACAGGACATGAGGGGATCCCTTCACACGTGCACAGGGAGGAAAATAAAGTAATGGACCAGGGAGTAAAGGTAAACAAAAAATCCTCTTCAGTTACACATATGGAACATTCCTGACACAGAAAAAGCATTCCACCTGCAGAAGAAAGACTGTCCAAAAGTATCACACACAGCAAACTCAGGTGGCTGTGTCACCACTGGGGTGTGACCAGGCAGGGCCCACTGGAAGCACAGACTGTTCTGCCAGCACTAAACCAGGGTGAGTGTGAAGGTCACTGAACACTCCTTGAATTCTCCCCACCCTGAAACACCTGGGTTAAATAACTGACTGTGAAAGAAAACCAGTGATTCATTACCAATCCAGCTTCCCTTTCCTGCAGGGGATATGGGATGCTGTCAACACACATCAGGGTACAGAAGATAAGACTAACGAGTCCCAAGCTTGAGGCCTTTGCAAGACAGGTAAGAATAAGGGGAAGCAGAGCTGGTGTGCTCATGGCCAGTCAACTAACGTCCTATTTTAACAGAAAGAACACAGCGGAGGGTTTTAATAATTTGGGAAAGGTCAGCATCCAGTCCTACCTTCACAAACCTGAGATGTCAGCACAAAGAACCTCTGAGAACTTTGCCTGTGACTAGAGTGGACACTCCTTTTAGTGTGTTTGAGAGGTCATGAGCAGCAAGTCAGAGCCATATGAAGTAGGAGTCACCCAACAGGATGTAATTTTTTTTTTTTTATCGTTTTCTGGAATTAATATGAGCAACCAACTGTAAGATGGATTTCAGCTAGAAATATCTTTTAAATTAGAAGCCACAACTGAGCAAATAGAAGACTGTTTACAAACATTGATTATTTATTTACAGATACTCCTGCAAATGGAGTCTTCTCCCTAAAAAAATTGAGAGAAACTTAAAAGAATAGCACAATTTTCTGTAATGAGCACATCAGACACTTTGAAGGTTAAAATGTATTCCAGGCTAGAATAAAAGTAACACATGAAGGGTCATGGGTCAGCTAACTAGAAGACATGTGCATCAATGCCACTAGTCCCATCATTAAGTACACACTGTAGCTAGGAATTAAGGTAATAGAATTTTAAAAAAAATTCAGATTGCTCCTCTTGAATTTTTTTAAACAAATCCATACATTTAAAAAGTCAGTTCATTAAGAAAAGTGAGTCTTCACATCAGGAAAGTTAAAGATTTAAATAGAAAAGGCCCCAGCAGGAATAGCCCCAGTGGATGGTTTTAAACACACACACAGAGAAAGAGAGGGGAGAAAAAAAGCCATTAACAGCTTTAGGGTCTTCCAGTACATTCTCCTCTTTAAATGCTGAAAAATAAGCACAATGAAAGAAACATGGAAAAGCTCACAAAGTCTGTGCTAGTCTCAGTCAAGAATAAGAGAGAGATTCAATGGAATTCTGGATTTTTATGAATAATTTACATCAGCCTTAGCAGAGTATGGTTTTGTTTCTTTTTCAGATTTAATAGGTTTCTGACAGACAGCCTCAGGAAACCTTCTATAAAAAATCAGAACTTTGATTACATTACTGTCAATATTTTAGGTTTAAAACACAGATGTGGGAGCTCACTCATCCTTGCCACAAACGCATACCTCAATTTAAACTGCACTGTCAACATTGCAATATTGCTTCTAAGAAGCAGCACACCAACAGGATAACTTTCAATCTCTAAGATTTCTATATATACACACAATTTTAGACAGAATTTATTTTCAATTTCTAATCCACTGTAATTCAAAGACAGTTTGGTGATTTCAATAGAAGAAAGATCAGATAAAACAGATAAAATATAATCAAGGTGTGTGATTATATCACTTAGTGCTTCTTTTCAGCTGTAGATTTATGCTACAGTGAGAGATGAAACAATCCCCTTTAAAACACTCTAGAACCAAAGCTACAGCACAACTGCCTGTTCTCAGCAGCTCAAAGAAGAGGACATCCAGAAATCAAACTAAAACCAAAAGACTTAGACTTCCAGTTTGCAATTTCCTCTGTAAAGAAGTCAGAGAATGCCTTTAAGTGGAGTATCTAACTAACTTCTGAGTGCTTAGACTGCAGATTAATCCTGTATCTCAAATCAATTTACTTAAGGGCATTAAAATGCTTTGAAAGAAAAATATTTATACTAACAGTCTTATCATTGCCCAGTGCCTTGTGCCAGTGAGCGTGAGGAAATGAACATTTTATGTGTGTGGTGTAAACAACTAGTTAAGTGAGACCACTCCTATTTTGTCTGTACCACCAATACAGCCTCAGATAACTTTTAAATCAAGTCCTTGTGTTCACACAAGCAGACACCACAGGCCACTAGCTTCCTGCCCAGTGCCCATTTCCACAGTGAACGTTCCAGCAGCACCCCTGCATCCCAGCACAGATAAAATGATGTGCAGAGCACCCCTGCAACCCAGCACAGATAAAATGATGTGCAGAGCACCCCTGCATCCCAGCACAGATAAAATTATGTGCAGAGCTCATACAGAGCTCACAGCACAGCTAAAACAAGCACAGAGCAGAAGTAAAACAATGGGATTGCAGAGAGCTTTCCATACTCTGGCCTACCTCAGTGCATTAAATCTGCTTCCCACTGTTTAAACAGAACCATTTGGGATGGCAGGGGGAAAGCACATTTTCAACATCTATAGTAACAGGGACCTTAAAGCTGCCGAGATTTCTTTGGTCATCTCCACATTGGAAGACCTTTCCCATGCAGCACAAGGCAATGGCAATTAGAGTTAGCACCAGGCCAGCTCACAGCACCACAGGATTGGCAACAATTTTTCACAACCTGCTCCAGCTCACAGATGTTTGGCTTTGTGTCCTGTAAATTTAAATTTACTTCACCTTGCCAAACTCAACAGTATCAGATTTTAGATTATTTACTGATATTTTTAAGCAATAGAGGAGAAAATCTGTGCATTATACACATTGGCTGCCACTGAAATAATACTTTAACCTGAAGAGAAAACTCTACTTTTAGAAGCAACTGGTTTACACAAAGCATCTATTTTCCTCCCTTACCTCCCTTTCCTTTCAGCTCACAACTTCCAATTCTCCTAAAATTAATACATATAGGATAAAGCAGTTGAATTCATTAACATTTAAGTCTGTTCTTCCAGATAGTTATGCCTGATATAGAATAGGCAACAAAGTCAGAGTATTTAAAATACAAACTGCTGCAAGCCCAAGAGTCCTTTCTATTTAGAGAACAGTGCAATATGCAAATATGGCACTGCAAAGGACTCTATTTCAGTAAAATCTCATCACCATGTGTCAAATCAAAGCTTTTCTCCTCCTCATCCTCTCAGTATGAGCATTCTTCCTGTGAACCTGTGATTTAGCTAGAATATCTTGCAATTTTTTACAATAATGGGTGAAAGTTATATAAATGCACTTGAAAGCTGAATAAAGTCTTGCAAGACACAGAAGCCAGTTTTTGTAGTGCCCAAAATGTAAAAAATTCATTGGATCATCAAAATGACCTTCCAGTTTGGTGATGTCATTCATTCACCTTCCCACACTACATTTCACATTATCATTTATTAAGTCCTTACTTTTGTGGGGTTCTTTGTAGGACATGAATGAATCAAGGTGTTATGTCTAAAACTTCATACTGGGAGGTTGATAATAGAATCATCTGTAACCTGAAATAGATACAAAATCCAAACACTACTCTGGACTGTACTCTGACACAGACTTCCCAAGTACATCCAAATAAGTCATTTAACCTCTCTGCCCCATTTATGCCACCCACCAGGCATTTCACTTCTGTTCCAAGGCTGCAAGTCACTGACATTTAAAGGCAAAAATCTGCATTACTGGAAACACTCAAAGTTAAAAGTAGTCCTCCATCTTTCAATTCTCTGAAGAGCTACAAAGTCAGGACTGAAAAAAAGGATTTTCTGGAAGCAGTCAAATGAGACCACTTCTGCAGGTGAGATTTCTACAGATAAATGAGATTGCTGGGGGAAAATAAAGTCTAAGCAATGGAAGACACAAGACATTAGATACAACACATGTACTAAAGGCTGCTGTAAAAACAGCAGCTCACCATGCTGCACCTTTGGAAAATCACCATGATGTTACCATGCAAAAAAGGCCACTCTGGGACCAGTTTTACCCACAATACACGTCTGTAGTTCATTTACCTGATGAATATAAATTGCACGGTCTGTCTCCTGTGATTGCAGCCTCCTTCAACTTATCCTGATGAGTCTTCCCAGCACTTCTTACTCAATGGCTCAGATTGGCAGCCCCTAACTCGAGGGGTCAGCAATTGTGTGGAGTCACTCAGTGCACACCTAAGAGGAACAATTAGACAGAGTCCTGCACAAAGACAGGCACTGACTGAAGTAAATACAGTGACAAAGGTACAGGAAAAAACACAGCCTATTCATGCCAGTGTAACTGATGGCAAAAGCTCAGTCACTAGAATCCAACAGGTAATTTCAGCATGGACAGTGAAAATCTGCAGAAAAAGAATATATATCCACCTATGCTTACAGCAGATGAGTTTATTTGCCAAAGAAATTTAGTGTTCCACAGCAACTGTCTAAAAAAAGCTTGCATCACTGAAAATGCCAACTTTTTCACTTGTAATTATGGCACACCAATACTATTTTTAGTTTGATTTTATGAGGATCCCTATATTTGTAGAAGGCACTGCTTTGACCAATAATGAAGACACTTCTCTCTGCAAGAGGTGAAAGGACTGTTTTAAAATAACCCTTTTACACATAAGCAGACAAAATAATTGAAATAAAAACTGATTAGATAAGACTACTAATTAACCCATTTGTCATCAACCCATCTGTTACCAACCAATTTGGTCAATTCATTAAGAAGAACTGCCTCATTACATTTAGCACAGATTATGAGACCTACAAAGCTTTAACACTGTAAGGGAACAGAAAACCTTCCTTCCTAGTGGAAAAGTTCCTAGTTGCCTAGAAAATCAATTAGCAGCACAGGCAGTTCAGTAGATCGTTTACTCCATCTTTTGGCAGAACAAAGGAGTGCAGAGAAATTGGGTTCCTTCTTCCTCTCCCTCTCTACCAATGCTGGAAACTCAAGAGTGCTGTGGGTACAAAGGCCTCCTGGCATTGCTCCTCCCACAAGGGGAAAGCTCATCACTCAATAACTCTCAATCAGAAAGTAAAAATAGATGCCAAATAGTGATGTCTTGCATAAAAGGATGCTGCTTAAAAGCATCAAGTCTCAGCTAAGCTCTTCATGCCATAGAACTGGTAGAGACTGGAAGGTCCAGGCTCCAAGCCCAGGAAGTCTCTCTGTTCTCCCTGAAGTTGCCAAAAGTTATTGCTACTTAATTAATTTGAATAAAAAGGTCTATATCTAAAATAAGAATGTCAGAACATCTTTAAAGCACCTTGAAAAGAAATGTAAATGAAGAAATACTTGGAGAAGCATGAAAATATTGTTGCAGATGAAGAAAGTAACCTCATTCATTAGCCAAAGATAATATTTCTTTCCTACCAGATGCTTCAGTAACAGCCATAAAATCCCAAAACAACAGTTAAACCCACATTACTAGTACAATTAAACACGTAGTGGTGGGTTTTTTCAGCTGTAGAAAATAAGCAGAAGGCTGAAAAGTAAACAAGTAAACTATTACAAGAGGCTTACAAGAACAAGTAAAAAATTAGGACAGTATTTTGAGTATATGCTTATGAACAGATTTAAAACATGAAGAAAATACTCAGCTCTCTTAACATCACAAAAGCTCTGCCCTGGAGAACTATGGAAGACAAAAAAAAAAAAAAAAGCTAAGGTAAGAATAACTTCTCTGTTATGGGAAATACTTCCATATATCTATTCAAATGACATTGCAATTATTTTTGCTGCTGTAATATGGCATTGCTTCAGGTACATGAGCATTATGTGCAGTAATGTAACCCATGATTACAGGAAGCAGATAAATGGTCTCACATGGAGCTATTTCTCAGTATTCCTCATTTGAAAAACACTTTTTTTTCCCCTATTACTGTAAGACAAAAACATTAAGAGAGTCTTATTCACAAATCCATTTATAAAAATACAAAAAACTCAATGCTGCAGTAGAAAGCTAAATTTTTGGAGAGTTCTCAGAACTCCTCATTCTCTCAAAGTAGCCCTACATTTGCAACACAAAAACCTGGCAGAGAAATACTCAGGAGCCACATCAATCAACTGAATTCCAATGCCAGCCTGGATCCCTGACTGCACCTTACACTCCTCACAGGGAGTGAATCTGGGGAGCCCAAAATCCCACCAGGCTTTTCCTGTCATTTTAGGAAAAAACAAAATTCTGTAGAGAAATTCATACTTTACTGAAAACTGTTTACACAAGCACACCTTAGGGGAGAAGAAACACTTTGTACTTCACAACTATAAATCAGATCACATAAATAGAAAAAAAAAATGCAGAGCCTCACAGGTATTGCCAGGAAAGAGCAAAGCATACTTGTACAAATGAAGGTCACAAATAATAGCTTAGTTAAATCACTCAAATATGATTAAATTTTGAGTCAAATAAAAAAATTGTCTTCACACTGAGAAATAAATTATATAATTACAAGCAATCTAATAAATTCTTCATTACTATAAGAAGTCAAGCATTAATTAACAAAATTAATGTCACTTTTTTTTGTGTTGGAGGATACAAGCAGTAAAACCTTGTACAACAGGAGTAAAAGAGGACCCAGCAGCTGGCAGAAAAACATGCAGAGAACCAGGGAATCCAATGGTTAAGCAAAGGAACATCTGAAAGTGCAGCACTCAGGGAGAGAGGAAGAGAGAGAAATACAGAAAGGGAAGGTAGGGAAAAATAACAGAAAATAATAAACTGTCTGCAGGATAATCAGGTTAAAACCATTAAAACACCTCAACTGTGCTGAAACACAGCAGCTGTGACAAATGACCCAGAGATGCACAAAAAGGCAAGGAGATATCCTCAAATTCCCCAGTAAAGAAATGAAATGTCTCCAGTTAGGGAAAGATCAACACAATTTCAAAGCATGAAAGATAATTACAGCTCATCCAAGAGAATGCCAGACACACACAAGCACATAAGTGTTGTGCAGTTTTTACTCTTAGGAATCACTGATTTTTATTAAAAAGACTGAGCTGGCTCTTCAGTATCCAGTGCCACTTGTTGATGCCTTGTACTTCACAAAGCTTTTTTGCAGCTTACTTGGGTTAAAAGGAAATTCAGTGAGAGCTAATTCTGCTCACAGTCTAACAGTTGATCTGTTGACTGTGAGAAATATTTCTGTCATGCCTTAATTTTGCATTTCATTTCAAATTAGGAGCCCTGAAGGGCAGGTTTAATCAGGAAGTCTGACTGGCAACATCTGCCAAGATAATACATCCATATGATGCCAGTTAATTATCCCCACGCCTTTTCATTTGGGTTTAAGCATTAAAAAAGTATTTGGATAATACCTATAGCATGCTAAAGTCCATAATCAGTAAGTGGAAAAGGGAACTGATTTTTTCCGTCATAGAATTGCAGCTACATAATCTGCAGTATGTTCTGCATCTTAAGGTTGGCTAGTTTTCCTGCCTCTCAAACATGAGGGCTTTGCTGTCACTTCCACAGATATATAGGTTCCAGATAAATTAGCTGATGAGCAAATGAGAAAGTTATAATTTAGGAAAAAATCCTGCGAACTGTGGCCTTTTATACCATATGCAAACCATATATTGCTGACCTATTTCACCTTTCCCTCATTTTTCCTGCCTTTCAGATTCCCACAAACAGTCACAATCCCTTCCCATTCATCCCTACCCCAAATTTAGCAAATATCTGTCTGTACAACCACCTATCACTGTGTCTCACACCAACTGCAGGGTAAATCCAAGCACCCTGCAGTCTGAGCACATCCAGCCAAGGCAGGCATTCCAGAGCCAGTGTGCAAAATCAGGCTCAGGAGCAAGTTGGTTGCAGGGGCACAGGTCTCAGCCCAGCTCAAGCACATCAGGTGCAGAAAACCAGGATGAATCCAGCCCTCTGAGAGCTGAGCTGCTGGCAGGACTGGGCCAGCTACACTGGCTTTAGTTTGGCTTTTTTTACAAATCAAACCCTGTTTACATGCAGGCTGAAAAGGTGCAGCCCTGTAAGCAATGCAAGTTTTCAAACTGTCAAAACTTTTTTTCCCTCCTCAGCCCCTTTCCATGCTTTACCTACTTTTCTGATAATGTAATTTTTTCAACTCTCTAGTGATGAAATGCCCTGATCAGAGTTCAAGTTTTAGTTGCTTTATCTGCAAAGTCAGCCACGTGCTGCAATAGTTCAATCACTTAGAGTCACACCACCTCTCCACTTACTGCCCTGGCTTTGCCCTCTAGGAATGAGTTGATAACAGTTTCTCTGCTGAAATTCAGGTGCTTTCAAATAGATCTATTAGGATCTGAGCTGCTCTTGAGAAGAAAGTCCAAAGACTTTCACATTTGTTTTCAACCTTCCATTAACAAGCTGAATCCAGTCAATCTGGGGCTCCCTCAGAGGGAACACTTAGTTTTCCTGCCTGCTCACAAGCAGCACAGCTTTGCAGGTTTGATTCTGCTCTTGCTTTTAAAAATGTAGCAGTAAGATGAAGTAAGGAAATAAGACTGGGTAGATGAAGCACTAAAGAGAACAAGATACAACAGCATTGCTAACACAGGCAAACTCACAGGGAAAAAGTCACTTTATGTGGACTCATGAGACTTCCTCTAGTCCTACATTAATCTGCTTTGCTCCCTTTGCCAGCTCTCAGGCACCAATGTGTCTTCCAGACTCTTACATCACTTTCTTGCATTACTCATGAAGTCTGACAGCTCAGAACTTTGTAGATCTGCATTTCTATCTCATGTTTGACTGCTTTTCCCAGCTGAATACCCAGCTACAGCTCTACCAAGTTGAGTGTGTTTAACAATTTTCACCACGTGTTTTTAGGTCCCTGTGCAATAAAACAAGACAAAACAGCAGCTACCATCCATGTCCCCCTAACCCAAGGCAACAGCATGGTTTGCTTGAAACTTTGCCCCTCACCACCCCTGTTTGCCTTCTGCACTCAGCATCTCACTCAGCATCTTTCTATATCTGCTGACTGTCAATATGGCTTTCCAAAGAAAGAAAAACTCTGGTCTAGTTCACAGATTCTCTGAAAACAGTAAAAAAAGTTTGTAGTTGAATTTGAAGCTAAGGAATGACTTTTTTCCCCAATACCCATAGACAAAGAAGCCAAAGTATTAATTCAGTTCAACAACTCTTCAGTAGTTGTGATACAGCAATAATCCTGGTTTATGAATTTAAAAAAAATAAATGGAAGAAATTGCTAGTGAGAAGAGGAATTATTAAATATTTTGCTATCTGGACACTACTTCTACTACATAAATCATCCAAGAGTCACACCTTGAGAAAGAAAGAAGATCAGGAAAAACCAAACACTTACCAGGAAAGATACTTTTCATGTTAACAGCCCAAGTCATCAAATCAAAGTTCAGAAGAAATATTTTGTGTTGACAGCTTGAATTGAAAGCTCAGCCATATACTCCATTCTTCTCTACATATATATAAATAGGAAGCACAGAGGAAGTGCAATTGTGCAAAACAAGCTTTTTTAAGCATACAGAAAGTGTCAGGATGATAAACCACATAAGCACAGAATTAAATCAAAGTTAATGACCACTATCTGGTATTTAACTTACTTTCATTTCTCTTTTCTTTTCATTTTTCCACCTAGCCTGCTCAGCTAATAAAATTGCCATTATAAGGGAGAAGCAAAGGCACGATTCAATGCTACATCAATTATTATGACTTTATTGTGACATACTGGCATCCAGCTCATCCCAGAAGGCTATACTGATGCCTTGGATGCAATTAATTTTTGATTGATCTAACTCACTCTAATACTGCATGTAAAATGTTCATAGACATTTGAATAATTCTATTATAGCTAGGAGATTGCTGCACAGAGATCATTTGCCAAGTTATTTTAGTAAATGTAAAACACCATTCTAGTCCTATTGTGGTAACAGTTATGTAATTGCCTTACAAAGTAAACTAATGAAATAAATGAACTCTAACTAATATGTGGCATAACAGGGCTGGAAGAGTGAAATCACACTGTAGATATCCTATCTACCTCTCCAGGGCTGGGGCTGGTGAGTCAACCTTTCCATTACAGAAGTGAATGAGAGAAGAATGACCTCATAAAAAGGGTTTTGTCTCACTGGCTGCAGGTGAACCTGGGGGGGGCTACTTCTAAAAGCAGCTAGAAGATGATTACTCAATACCTAGATTGTTTGCAAAATCTGAGGATAAAGAAACCTTCATTATCCCAAGGGGGTTGCCACAGTTTGTTTTGTATGTGTGTGATGGGTTTTTCTCAGGGTTGTGTAACAATATCTGCTACACACAGAAAGCAAATTTCACTTCTGAAACTGCTGAGTATCTCCCAGTTAAATCACAGACACATCCAGTTCACAGAGAAGCTTTGAAATCCACAACTGAGACTTTCACACGAGCCAGATAATGGAAGGATTGAAGAGTTGGCTTTTAGCAAGAAGGGTAAGAGTCTGAATCTCTGCAAGTCAGGACCTGGAGAAAGCAACTTCAAAGGTAAAGCAAAATCCAGGCAGGAGAGAGGTTTTACAGGCACAGGGGAAAGGTGCTCATTCCTGGAAGCTGCCTGCAGCTGCAGTCTCTGACTGTCCCCTGAAGCACTGCACCCATACTTCCAGTCATTCCTCCAAAGCAGAGAAGCACAACACTGGGATACTTTGAGTAGGGTCAGTAGCTCAGAGAGCCACAGATGCCAATGCAGCCATTGTAAAACAGTAACTCTTTAACTCATAATTCTGAAAGTTGCTTCCAAGGATGTCACAGCACTTCCTGCCCTCAGAAAATGTTCATTAGAAACTACAACTTGACATTCTTAGTCAAAATAGAGAAACAACAACATGAAGTAGACAAAAAATGCTTAATATTTATGTACCTTAAATTATTTTTGTCCCTGACACACAAAGGCCATCACCCCAAGGAAGAGGCAAAGAAGCTACCCCAGTTACAGCCAGCCCAAGGCAGCGTTGGGTGGGAACCCAAGTCAGTTCGGGTTAGCAATAGGATGAGGAGGACTAAGCACAGCTTAGTGCAGGGTGAGATCCCCTAACATCTCACATGGATTGTGTTAGCTAAAAATGAAACCTAAGAGCAAATGTAAATTGTTACAGGAGTTTTAAAACCTCAGTCACATGCTTCCAGCACACTGCCTGTAAAATCACCGGCAACACTGAAAATGTGGCAAGGAGAGTGAAAAAAGGAAGACATGGAAATGAGGTGGATATTCTATCACAAAGAAACAGCTCCACCTTATGTTTGAGCAGCAGGAGCATTTTGTTCAAACTTACCTTCCAAACACACGTATGAGGGGAAATCCAGCTAACACAGCCCATAAAACAATGGTCAAAAAGGCAATTTAGCAACATCTTTGCTCTGGAGTTATTTTTTCCACTCCAGTGTTTGCAGTATTACTGGTGGTAATAACTAAGCTCTCCACAAAACAGATGTTGTGTCATGACCTCTTTACTTTTCCAGGTTGAATTCAATGCCAGCAGTGAATTTCCTAGTGACAAAACAATGTTATGTTCAGCTGCAGTATTTTTTCATCTAATTCACAGCTGCAGGGGAAGAAAAATCCAAATAACCAGTCACAACCCTTCATAAACTGTTAAAAGTAATCAGGCAACTAGTTTCAGGTAGTGTATCTCAATTCAGGTGACAGAATCCATTTACTATTGGAAAATTATATTTGCTTAACAAATGGTTTGGATCCTTTTTTCCAGGCTTTACTTTAGCAACAGATGATTTCTAAAACTTAAGAACTTAAATTCATGCCCCAAATAGGAAGGTATTTTTAAAATAATTGAGATGTGCTCTTTATTTGCCGTGATCAGATGAACACGCTCTTACCTTGAACACAAACATTTAAACGCAGAATTAGGTGGTGAAGTACCTGGTGATGTCTAAACCTTTTATTAAATGCTGCACATGGACTTGGCTTAAATAACACAGGACTGAGCTGAAGATCAGTTGGAACATGCATGAAAATATTTCACAGTTAAACACACAAGAAGTATCTCCTTGAGGTCCCATGGCTGTTACAGCAAAGGAACAAGAAGGAAAACATAGATGGCACCAAAGAGGGGAGCAAGGACACAGAACTACAGGGGGGAAATAATTTTTGTTGTTCTTTTTGCCAAGACGGTGCTGCTGGCAATGGTTAGCAGTCAGGGCATCAAAGAACCAGAGTGCTCCACTCCAGAGTCAGTCAGGAAGGGAGAGGGGAAGGAAATGCAACAGAGTATTTCCCTCATGCAGAAATTAAGAAACCTGAAGCACTTCATAAAAATCAGTCTTGATTTGACAAAAACAATACTGTTCAGGAGATGAACTCCATACAATTTCTCAAGCACTCTTCTAAAAAAGAAGGGAAAGTTAAGTCACTCCAAATGCATACCCAGGAAGCAGCACATTTGACATATAAGCTGTGTACCTTCTGCCCATCAGGAGCAGCAGGGCACCATTCCCTTGGCCAAAGTAAGTCACAAGCCCTTTATCTCATCCTGACTTTGTATAAGTTGTCACTGTCACCAAGATCCTGTGCACCCCGCCACAACATAAACAACAAGGAAACCAACCCCAAAACATACAGTTTTACAAATTATTTCAAAGGTGAATTTACAAGCTACTTCTGGCATTCCATAAGAAATGGTCCCCAGGAACTGCTTTAATACTATTTTAATAAATATTTATGGATACATCAGTACAAACTGGATTCCACTGATGTTTAATACTTGCTGTGTAGTAACAGAAACGTTTTCTTTGGCCTGTGATCTTCTAACACAGATTTGTTTGACACACACACACATATTTACCTAGGTGAATGCATTTGGCAGTCAGTACAGGTTGTCATAACCCAAACAACATCAGCACTTTGTGATGGCAACAAACAGCAGAAATCAATCAAGGCATTGATATGTTGATACAATTATTCCTGTTAGTGGCCAGGTGATTTATTGGTAAGTGAGCTATGTAATCAAAACTGTTATTAATTGTAGTGCCAAAGATTAGAGGAACTGCATATAATGACTTGCTCAAGTTCTGCACGAGCAGCTTTCACTCACATTTATGCTTGTTTTCTGTTTTAGACTGTAAGGCTCATTTAACTTTTTTCCTTCACAAAGCTTTTTTTGTAATCAAGGGATGTCTTCAGCTAATATTCCATGGCAATGGCATTCTTTGTAAATTCATATGTCATCACTGTGGCTTGTCATTTCTAATGACAGAGAAATACTTGGTTATCATTGAAGAAAAATTACAGTATCATTACTTGTATTATTTTTTAATTTGATGAAGCTATTCACTGAGCAAACCTCCCACTTTTCTCAGGCATTAATTTTATCCAGGCACAAAGTTCTTGCCCTTTTTTTTGCCAGTATTCTAGCCAGTAAAGCTCAAATGATACTATGATCTGCTTATGCCTGTTCTCCATTTGCTCAATACTCACTCATTCCACTTTTCTCCTTCAAGAAGCAAATAACTTTGTATTTAGTACAAGTAATTGTTACAGTAGTGTTCTAATACAGCCAGGAAAGAACAATAACTACCAAGAATCACCTTGTTTCCTTGGCACACACTCATCACAGAAGTTTTTGCTCTGAACTCTTACAGCTTGTACAGAAAAAATACCTTTCATGGTTAAGGTGTCTGATATTGAGACTACACTACAGATGCCTCTACCATTTTGTCCTTTATTCTCATGGGAGGTATTCCTTCTACAGTCAGTTTTATTAATAGTAATTGTGTTTATCAACTGAAGTGATGGTTAACATTGAAAATCTTACAGATACACGCTTGAGGGGAAGGAAGGAGGAAGGGAGGGAGAGAGGAAGGGAGCTTTGATTAGCACACACATGCACAAGCCTCTTCTAGCACTCACTTGTACAATCTTCCTTTCATTTTATCCCTACCCCACATGGACTGCACTATTTCATTAGTAATTTTTATTTCATATACACATTAAATTCCATGATTCTCCAAACTCCTTACTAAAGTACTGTCAGTATTTAATGCTTTTCTGTTTCAAACCTCTTCCCTTCTGTTTTATTCACCTCTTCTGGAATTCCTCTGTTGCTACACACTTGCTTGAAATCAACATCATCCTCACTACATTGAGCTACTTCTCCTCAAGCCAATAATGCTGGCAGCATCACCCTGTAAAATAAACCACAAGAATTAACAATGGCTATTGACTTACTATGTTTCTAATTCACTCTTTCAAGGTTTTATCCCAATCAATTAAAGCACTTCTTCCAATACTGGTCTTTGTATTTTGGTCTATTCTTAATCCTATTATTTATTCCTGATCCAAAGCACCACAAGCTCTTTCTACACTTACAGCTGGTGGTACCTTTTCACACAAATGTAGTCCTGAATAATCCTTGAGGTCTGGTCCACGTATCCCCAAATGGTGTTTGTACTTCACCACTTCCTCAGCACACACCTTTCTTGGAAAACAGAATATTCCATTACTTTTTCAATGGCTGAAGTTTTCCCTCCTCAAGCAGAAGGGACTGTCCCTTTCTTTAAATTATTTCTTCATTTACCCAAATTACTGTATATCATACACACTTCACTAAATTCAAAGAAAGCAGATCTGCAAATAACCAATATTTACCATTTACCTTTGCTCATTCAAGATTGAGTCCATATTTAATACATTAAATGTTCTACTATTTTAATTGTGAATATTAAGTCATGCACATTTAGTTGAAATCCAAACATTGTCAGTGTAAAACTCTTACATTTTTTAATTTCTGTTCCTGAATTCATTAAACTTAAAATCCACTGTGCTCTCTGTGGGGCTCCTGTATATGCACTCTGAGTTCCTCCAGGCAGCAGGTGTGGAGTCAGGGAAAGCACAGTCTGGAGCACAGCTTCACTGTCCTGTCCTCCCTGTGCTCCCCAGCAGAGATCAGGGCTCCCCCCTCCCATGGTGTGGCAGCTGCTTGCGGCAGTGGCAGTTTTCCATCTGTCTGCATTCACCTGCAATTTCTCCCATTTCTCCCACATGGATTAGCAGAAGAGAACTGGTCTAAGTCCTGGTACCAAGAAACTTGGGAAGAGCTAGGAAATGTCTCTTCCATGTGTTTTGGTATATCCACACCAAACTGATCTGGACTGAACCAACAAGCTTCCATTCAGTCCCACGGGCTGAGGTCTCTGGGCTAAATTCTGCACCAGCAAATCCAACCACGCCTTGCTCTTCTTGCAATGCCCTTTTCAAAGACCAGGAGACTCCTTGAGGAAGCTGAATCATCTAATCCACAATTCTGCCTCTAACTACAGCCCTGAAGCGGCTCAAGCTTGTTTCCACTGCCAAGTAACTGCACAGCTGGAGGTTTTATTGTCTAGCCTTTTGTATGTCCTTCATCACATGCACTTCATCACCGATGCTGAACACAGGCTTTTGCAGCACACACCACTCTGCACTACTTTTCTGCTGTTCTTCCACTTCCATTCTGTTCCTGTTCCTTTAATATTTCAACCTCTGCTTTCAAGTCCACCTTTTCTTACCCTACAGAGACTAATTTTCCTTTTCCTAACTGTTACAGATTAAGTCAAATTGCTTGCAGATCACCTCAAGGCCCATCCTGCAGCAACCTTAATGCTGCCTTAGATGTACTGCTCCCCTGACAGATAGCAAATGCCTTTTCAGCCTTTGTCAATGCATCTTCAGCCATGAAAGCTTCCTGCTCCCACA